AAAATATGAAGGAAAAAAACAATTCTTATATATATGTGCATATAAAATTAAAGAATGAGGTTTTAACATTACAATTATTAATTATGTTTCTATAAAATGACACATGCATTAATATAAATAGATAAAAAAAAAAAAAAAATATTTAAAAGAAATTATAGAAAATGCAAAGTAACAAATAGATAATTTTAGAGAAAAATAATAAGATATATACACAAGAAAAAAGGAAAAAATAAAAGAAATTTAAAAAAACAAAAAATAAAAATAATAGTTTTAAATGTATCACATACTTATATTGGTAAAAAGTAATCTTTATTTTTTTAGATATATATTTTTATGTTTTTTATTTTTTATTTTTTATTTTTTTTTTCCATATTCATATTTTTAATTTCTATTTCTCTAAAAATTATTTATATGAAATTTACATTTTTTTTTTTTTTCTTTTTTTTTTAAAATTACCTGTGTTACACAAAAACAAAAGGTAACTAATTAATAATCAAAAAGAATTTATATTTTTAATTAAAATAAAATTAATTTTATATGTTCTATATAGAAGTATCATAAAAATTATTTTTTTTTTTTAAATATATAATTAAAAAAAATAAAAATTTAAAATAAGTTTTTTTTTTTTTAACTAATAAAAAGTATTTTTTTCTAGTATAACAAGTATCTAAATGTTTTAGAAAATTATTTTATCATTTTGAAGTTACACTGTTATATATATATGAAGCAAAAATATCTATTTTCTCCATTTTAAAGATATTTCCTTATTTTAGATATAAATAATATTATAGAAAGACATTATTTTTTAGAATAATAAAATCATTATTATATTAATATTGGTGTAAATACATTTCTTACTATTAAAAAATAAATATAAAAAAAATATGTAAATTTTATAAAAAAAATTATTTTTTTTAAGTAAAAAATTACAGAAGGTTTTATTAAAAAGAATGGCATATATTATACATTTAAACATTTATTGAAAGATATGAAACTTTAATAATTTCAAAACATCAAAGATTGTGTAAGATATGAACTTTTATAACCCAAAAAAAAGTTATACAAGATATTTTCATAAACATTTATGAACATATTTATTCAGAATTTATATAATTAAAAATTCAATATAAATTAAGAGAAATTTAAAAAAAAAAAATAAAAAAATAAAATAAAATAATAAATTAAAAAAATCTTGAATAAATAATATACAGTATTTTTAATAGTTTTAAGGAAAATTATAAAATTTTGAATATCCAGTTTTTGTAAGAATTCTTTTTTTTTTTTTTTTAGTTTATTTTTCTAATATTTAAATCTTTGTAATATTAAAATAATTACACAAAAATATAAAATACTTTTATTTTTGACGATTTTTAATAAATATTTTAACAAATTAAGAATAAAAATTTTTTTAAAAAATTTAAAGCAATGATAGAAAACAAAGAAATAAATATATATGATGAGCATTGAAACAAATTTATAAATGTGTTTCATTATTTATACGATATTCTTCATAAAAAATAAAAAGTAAATAAAAAAATAACTAATAGAATTGTTCTTATAATATATTCATATATATAAGTCACTTAAAAAAAAAAAAATTTCAAAATTTTAAATTTAATTAATGAAAAAGTGATAAAAATTTTTATGTAAACTAATCATTTTCTAATTTTAATAAGTTTTATGTATATTAAGAGTGGCGGATATTTAATTACAACGTAATAAAAGAAATATAATTGTAAAAAAAAAGAAAAGAATATGCAGACATAAAATTATTATCTAGCATAACTTTTTTTTTTTTTTTTAAAAGTTTTAAAATAAGATTTGTTTCTCTATTATTATCAGAATTTTCTTTTATGTGGGTACTACTTGAGATTAGAGCATCTACATATTTTTCTGTAATTTTTAAAAAATATCCAGTTTTATTTAATTCTTCTATTAATAAACGACACTGTTCTACATTTCTTATAAATATATTTGCTATACTTTTTTTTCCTTGAATTATTTTTAATTTTTCATCAATATTTTTTAAATTCTCATCTATTTTCTCTTTAAATATATTACTATTTGCATATTCTTTACCAATACTATAAGCATGTCTTATAAATTTTTTATTATTGTAATTTAATTTCATAATATCAATAAGATAGAATAACTTTTTCTTTAATAAAATATACTTTTTATACGATTGAAAAGCCTCATTAATTAAAATCATTTCAGCTGGGGTCATTTCACCTTCTAAGTATTTTTTTAAAGCAGCTTCATTCTTTTCTTTATGCATTACATTAAGATATTGTAATTTTGTTTTATAATATTTTAATAATGCCTCATTCATATCAGTAAATGGGGTAAACAATTGTTGTAAGTTTTGATAACTATTAATTTTTAATGATTTATTTTTTAAGTCTTTTAATTTTCTAATTATATAACTACTAAAAAAAAGATCAAAGTTTTCTCTGTTTAATGAATGGGATTTATATAGATCTTCCAATTTTGAATCTATATTTCTTAATTCTTCTTTAGCAAGCATATTAATCGCATTAATTTCTTTATTTAAAAAATCACATATATTTTTATTTAATTTTATATTATCCTTAGAATCTTTTGAAAAAATTTCGCTTAAATTTTTAAAAGTTAACTCTAATAATTCAGAGCACATATTTAAAAAATTATCTTTGCTACTTAATGAGTTAATTTCTAAAAAATATTGTTTTGAAAAATCAAATACTTCTAAAATATAGCTTGCTGTCTCACTTAAATAAAAAGAATTATTATTAAAAAGGCATACTTCTACATGCATTCTATTTTTTAACATTATTAAACTTCTATAAATTTCATCAAATTCATTTTTATCTATATTCCTCATCTTTGGTGGAATAGATTTTAGGATATCAATTTTATTTTCTTTTTCTAAATTGTTAATATTTTCTAGGAAATTAAAAGAATTCAATATAGTTATTTTTTTAACAATTTCATTAACATTTTTAAATGCTCTGGATTTAAAAATAGTATGTAAATCATATATAAAACAAAATGTGTTTTTATTTAAATTTTTTATATAATTTCCATCAATCACACTTTCCATTGAATAATAGGAAAATTTTTGAAATAATACTTGCATGTCACATATAAAATCAGGATTTGAAATGTTAGGATTATTCTTAAAATCAAAATTTTCTCTTTTATCACATTTTAAATTCAATGAATTAAATTCATCCTTATTTTCATTATCTTTTTCAAATAAATTATTCAGACATACACATCTCCTTAGAGGAGGAAATGCGATATTTTTTTTAACCACATCACAATTAAAACATTCCTTTGTTAATCTACAAAAATAAAAATCGTATATAAATTTGTAAAAAAAAAAAAAAAAAAAAAAAATTTAATGAATAATATTAATATAAAATAATGAAAAACAAAGAGATCTGAAAAAAAAAAAAAAAAAAAAAAAAAATTACTGTGAGGCTGTCACTACAAAATTTTTATTTTTGAAAAATGTGCTCCGACAATATAATAAAATCTAAAATACCAAAAAATGTGCAAAAATAAAAAATGAATTCTTAAAATTTCTAAAAATATAATTTTTTTTTTTTTTTTTTTTTTAGATTATGTTTGTTTAATTATTACAAAAATAATGAAGCTGATATAAGATGTATTCATCTTTCAATTTTAAAAAAAATATTTTTGTAATTCCCAAAAAAAATTGTTTTTCCTTTTTATAATTTTAAGAAAATAAATTTAAACAACATATGTTGACTACATTTAGGTTCGTTCTATAAAAATATAATGATTTATTATCTTTTTTTTTTTTTTTTGTTTTTTACATTTTTAATTTTTATTAATTTTAAATAACCCATTTTATTATGTAATTGTAGAATTGTTGAAAATATATACTGTTAAAAAAAAAAAAAAAAAATTACCTCTAAAAATCATAGTTTTTAAATGAGATCTACTTTAATTTAAAAATTTATATCCTGCTAAAATCCAAATTAAATGTAAAATATATATTAAAAAATAATAAAAGATTCATATATGATTATAATAATAATTTATATATATATATATATATCAAAATGTATTTAGAAATTTTTTTAAGGATACTTTAAGAATAAAATAACCGTTAAATTAAATTGTGTTTTTCTATTAAGCTTAAATGTATTATTTTGAAAACAATTTGTTAAAAACATTCTGTTTAACTTATAAAAAAAATGTTTTTTAGCTTTATATTTCTTATTAGTTTATTTTTTTTCCCCTCATATATATGGATATTTAAGTAACAAAGGATGTAAGTTTATATATAGGGAATTTTAGATTTATATTTGTAAAGAATTAATCTTTATTAAGCTGCTTTTCAAAATGCTTAAAACAATGTGAAATTTTTTTTTCAAAATTTTAAAGATTATCTTTAAAAAAATATATATTTGTATATCAAATAGAGAGAAAAGAACAAAAAAAAAAAAAAAAATTATATTATAAAAAATTACATATAAAAAACTTATTCATGCACCTCAATTTATTCTGTTAATTTTTTCTAAAACACCAAAACATTTATAATGCAATATAGTCAAAATAAGTTTCAGTAATGCATAAATGGTGTTTTTAATTTAAAAAATGTTAATTTAATACATTTTTTATTTTAATATAAATTTGTACATTTAGTTTGGATATTAAAATAAAATGCTTTTATAATAGAAACTATTTTTCTTTATTATTTATATATATAGTTAATCCTTTTTAATTATAACAAACCATCAATATATTATATTACAATTATATCAACAGTAAAAAAAAATTAACATGCATGTGGATACGAAAAAAAAAATAAAGTGCCTAAAATGATATAAATATAATATATTGTATATATATATATATATATTCTGCATTATCTTCACTTTTCCTTTTTTTTTTTTTTTTAATATTAATGAAGAAATTATAAAAGTGTTTATATATTTTTTTTTTTATAAGATAATATTTTTTTCCTTTTTTTTTTTTTTTATTACACTACACACGAATAATAATTTAAAAAATGTGGTTATTTTTTCTTACATTTTTATTTATTCTTTTTTTTTATTTTTCTTCATTCTTAACTTTGAAGTGTTGCTAGTATCCCAAAAAAAAAAAAAAAAATTTAGATTATTAAATATTTCTTGAAATATTTTTTCTTTATTTTTTTTGTGTCATATCTATTCTTTTTAAAAATATTAACTTTAATTTTTTTTATTTGGTTTTAAAATAATAACATAATCCATCTAAAAATTAATTAAAAATAGACATTTAATATGAATATCATACGAATATAAAATAGAATAGGTTAAAAAAAATAACTAATAAGAACAAACTATAAAAATGTATAAGTCAAGGTTTTTCATATTATTGAATTTTTGTTTTTTTTTTTTTTTAAAGTTATATAGTTGTTTTTTTTTTAATTATATATTTTTAAGTTTTTTTTATAATTTCTTAAATTTTTTTATAATTATTATTATTAATGTTGTGCTTTAAAAAAAATTTCATTTTTCGTCTTTGTTAAATGTAAAAATAGGATTTATATTTTTTTTTTTTTTTAACTTTTTCTTTATTAAAATATAAAATAAATGATTGAAATAAATGTGGAAAATTATTTAATCATTAAATTAAATGTATTTTTAATTTTTCTTAATGAAATGAGTCTTTTTTTTTTTTTTTTTTTTTTTTTAAAATTGAAATATTTATTGATTTCCTTTAACTTAATCTTTTTTATATTCTCAAAACATTTGAATCAAACTTGATCTTATAATAAATCACATTTAGGAATTTAATTCTATATATTCACTTTAAAAATATATATAAATTAAAATATACCTCTTTGAAGAAATATTCTAATTTTTTGAGTTATGCATATTTTAATCATTCATTAATATTTTATAGTAGTATTTTGCATTTATATTAAAAAACTTTAAAGTGCAAATAATTGTATAAAATAAAATTTGTTCTTTTAAAAAATAAAAATGATTTCAATCAGAAAATTATAGTAAAAAAAAAAGGATGCAAAAGAAGAAAAAGAAGAAAAAAAAAAAAAAAAAAAAAAAAAAAAAAAAAAAAAAAAAAGTAAAAAAAAAGTAGAAGAAAAATATTATTGTTATTTTTAAAAATATATTTAATTATTTATATATAATTATATATATATACGAATTAAACAATGATTATGAATGTTTTGAAAAAATATTTGGTATCAAACTTGAATAAAAAAGATAAAGTATGCAAATTAATATTGAGGAGAAAAATATCATCAAAAACATATGCAGATGTAGAAAGTAATCTTATAAAAAAATTAAAAGATATGAATAGTGAAAATATATGTAATGGTATTAAAAAAAGTGTTAAAAATGGCTTTATTAATAAAAATATGTTTGAAATTTATAATAATATGGTAAAAAAACATCTTAATAATTTCAATTTTTCAGATATAGTACTAATTTTACAATCGTATGCTTTGTGTAAAGAAAGAAATTTTGAAATTTATTCCATTTTATCTAATAGATCATTATATATATTTAAGGAAAATAAAATTAAATATGAATCATTAACTTATGATAATATCTATAAGTACATTATAGCTAGTAATAAATTGAATTTCACTGATTTTGAATTGATGGTTATTTTTTTAAAACAAGTTAAAAAAAATTTGGATTATTATGGAATAAAAAAAATTTCTAAAATTTTACATGCCTTATCAAAACTAAAAATAAATGATGAAGAATTATTAGAGATTTCTAGTAATTATATTCTACAAAATTTTGACCAAATTAAAAGTAACTATATTAATCATTTAATTTCAGCATATACAAAATCAAATAATAATTATTCGGAACTATGTTTAAAATTAATTAAGTATATATATGAAAATATAAATTCATTTGATTCTATTTCTATATATAATATATTAATACAAATAAAATATATTATAAATAAAATAAAAAGTGATAAGAATTATTCAATTTATTTTAGTGAAGAGAATATTTTAAATTATGATAAAATAGATGATTTAAATAAATATAGAACTATGAATAGTACTAATGAATATATTTATTCGGAAAAAAAAAATAATACACAAAATCATGATATTAATAATGATATAAACATAAATGATAATATTACTACTTTAAATAAAGAAGAATATGGTATATATAAAAAAGAATTAGAAGAAATATGTTTCTTAAATGGTGATAATAAAGATGAAAATAATGTAAATTATTACAAAAAAATACTAAAAAGTATAATTCATCTTTTATTTTCAAAAGTAAATAGCTGTTTAGCATTCTTGTCATTAAAACAAATAATTAAACTATTGTGCTCTTATAAAGATTTAAATTATTTTAATTATATATTTATTTATAAAAGATTATTACATTTTTTGTTTTCTAAAATTCAATCAAATAAAATAAATTTAGAAGAGAGCATTCTGATATTAGAATTTTTTGTTATTTTACCATATGTCGATAATAATATGGAACAAATTATTAATATAATTATACAAAATTTAGAAAAAAATATTATTTTTAATTATTCTTATATATACCGCTTACTATTATGTTTCAAAAATCTAAATATACATAATGATAATATTTTATCAAAAATTGATTGCTTTATTTTTAAAAATAAAAAAAATTTTGAAAAAAATTGTAATTTTGAAGAATTAAATTTATTTATGTATTTTTATAACAAAAATGCAGAAGAATGGGGAGAGATGGTTAAATACTTAAATTTTTTAAAAGATAAAAAAGGAAATACAAAAGAAAATACTAATGAAGAAAATAACCAAGTCGATCATACCATTAACAAAATAGATATAAATAAAGTAGACAAAAAGTTAATTATTTATAAATACAATAAGATAGAGAAATGTTTTAATGAGAATGAAAAAAGTTTAAATGACGATAATGATCCAAAAAATAATAGTGAAAAAAATTCTTCTTCTATTAATAATAAAGATATAAGTAAAAGCATATCTAACTATTTACATTTTAATTTAGTGAATTATAAAAAAAGTTACTAAAAATTATGCAATAAATTTATAAAAATTTCAATAAAGTATATTACCATATGCATAGTTTAAATTATATGAATTATTTATTTTATTTTATTTTTAAAAGGCATATAAAAAAAAAAAAAAAAAATGAAAAAGATAAAAGATATGAAATTAGTAAAATAAAACATTTTTCTATAAGAAAAAAATATAAATAAAATATATTCAAATATAACACTAAAAATAATATATAAATAAAAGCTTATTAAAATAAATTAAAACAAAATAACACAAAATAAAATAAGACTAAAAAAAAAATATAATTAAAACATTTTTTAAGGTGATTGTAATTATTATTACTTCATAAAAAATAGGTCGTTTAAAATTAAAGCTAATATATGTATAAATAATAACAGAACAACAATTCTATAACAGTAAAATGTTTTTTTATTGTATATTTCTGTTTTAATAACTTTTAAAAAATCTTTATAATAATTGTATCTTTTGTTTAATATTTTTATTCTCTCTGGTATTTCCATGTATTTATATATCTGAAAAAAAAAAAAAAAAAAAAAAAAAAAAAAAATGTGTTAAAATTTAATAACTATATAAAAATTTTCTTTTATAATTTTTTCAATTTACCTCAAACCATAAGTGTTCATATTGAACCTTATTCCAGAAATATTCTGGTATATCTAAAAAATCTTGTACAGCATTTACATTAATAATACTAGAGTATACATCTAACATACTTGATATTTTTTTTTTAGAAATAATACAAGTTCCTTTAGATGCAATTTCTTTTGATATGTTAAATAATGTGTTAATTGCAATATCCATCATCATTTCATGTACATCTAATCTGATAGATTGAGACAATGCAAATGATGCTGTCAATTTTTGTTCTAATGAATCATTTGTTAAATATATTATTCCATTATTTACAAAACAATTTTTTTTTTTCTTTTTTTTTTCTTCTCCTTCTCCATCTTCATAATCTTCTTCTTCTTCTTCGTTTTCCTCTTCTTCTTCTTTTTCATTTTCATTTTCTTCTCTTTTTTCTTTATATTTTTCTTCTTCAGAATAGAATATAGTATCCAATTGAACTATATAAACTGGTAGTAATTCATCCGAAAATGAATTTAAAAATATAATAACTTTATTTATAAAGTAGTCACTATTTTGATAATTTTTGAAATTTTCCCATATAACTACAGAGCCATTTTTAAATATAAAAAATATAAATTTTGTATGAGGATAAGTTACATTCTTTTTTAAATCTAAATTATCAATTTTATATATATCTTCAGAACTATAAAAATTTTTTATGCAACTTTCTGGTGTTAAAAATACACACAATACATTGTTATCATCAAAAAAAGTATATGTAATTTTTTTAGAAAAAAATATTTTACTTATTTTTATTAAATCGTAACTTTTTGCTTGGCATAAAAATTTAACTAAACATAATTTATCTGGATTATAATATGAAATGTTTTCTCTAATTTTATTATTATTAATTTTGTTTACTTCTTTTCTTTCAAAAATATATTTATTTATAAAAGATATTTTTTTCCATTTATAATTCTCATCGTCATTTGATAAATTTTTATAGCCATTAAAATAAACAGTATGTTTATTTTCTGATATTTTATTTTCTCCATTTACTTTGGCTTTATTGTTTTCATACATTTTTAATTTCCTTTTATATATTTGTTCATCCATATTTATCCTTAACGAATTTTTATTTTCGTATAATTTATCTTTACAATCACTACTACTAAGCATTTTTAATTTTCTTTTTTTTTTTTTTTTTTTATCTTTTTTATAATGATATTCATAAGATGCTCTATTATCATAAGGAAAATTATATGCTTTTTTTTTTTTTTGAATAGAGACAATTTTTTTTTCAATATTACTTTTTTTTTTAACATTTAAATTTCTGCTAGGATTTTCAATAGAGTTATGTGAAGAATTAACAATAAAACTTTCATCCAATAAAAAAATTTCTTCATCTAAATTATTAGTTATTTTATTTTTTTTAATCAAATTAATATCACTTAAATATTTATTATTATGATCTTTTTTTATTTTATTCATTGCAACTTAATTTTTAAAGTAGCACATACTCTTTTTTAAAATCAGAATATTTTTTTATATAGATTAATTTCACAACTTTTTTGTAATGATTAATATTCATTAAAAGTATTTTTCATATAATTTTCATCGTCACTTTCTATTTTGAAAAATCTTCTATTTTTATTTGAAGTATATAATTTTCCATATATTTTATTTAATTCATCTTTTTTCTTATTTGGGGAACTTAATTGTTTTTTTATTTTTGTGCATTATTAAAACATAATCAATTTTTTAGAATTTTCAAAAAAAAAAATAAAAAAAAGATATTTCAAGAAAATAATGAAAAATATTTTAAGATTTTATATTTTTAATAATATAAGCACACATATATTTTTTTTTTTTTTTTTTTTTTTTAACTTTTATTAAAAATTT